ACACCGTGACTGGAAAGGCGAGGGATCCCTTTTTTTTTTTTTTTTTTTGCCCCTTTCTTTTTCCACAGGCAATAAATTCAGGACTATAAAAATCCAAGCAAGCTAATGTAAGTTTTATTAAACTCTTTAACCGTCTCAAGTCGGAGGCAGCCCGCAACAAAGCAGCGTCAGTGACGCTCGGTATTTCACCGGGCTTGTAAAGTTCAATGAAGGTTTTTGATTCCAGAGACGTGGTGCATCAAGCTGGTTCGGTTCCAGCAAAACAACCCCGAGATAATGCCGCAAAACACGTGAAGATGTATTCACGTAAGGAACGGTTTTGGGATGCGATATGGATAGAAGCACTCAGCCGAGGGCACTGGGGGGGGGGGGGGGGGGGGGGGGGGGGGGGAGTCGTGTCTGCAGCTCGAGCCGTAATGTCACGCATATGCCACTCACATTTGAAATTTCATATTTGCCCCCATGATCGTACCACGTTAGCATCCATTTTCCGATGCCAGAGGGTTTGTTATTTACAACACCCTCCCACGGCTCTTGCTTTTCCTTCTAAAAACGCGGTTCTACGCGCATCGTGTCGTTTAATGCGCACACGACTATGTGTGGATACGAAACCACCGGGGTGCGGGGAGGGGGGGGGGAAGGAGAAAAGGGGGGAGGTTGGTTTCTATGTATTTTCTGCCTTATTTTTTCTTATTTTTGCTATCGTACTCTGGAGCCCGAGTGGCAAAGAATAGCTTTTATCTCCATTCCCCCATGGTGGTTATTAAAGGCGAAGTGAATACATCAGCATCTCTCATTAAAAAAAAAAAAAAAAAAGGAAAAGAAAAGAAAAGAAACCCGGATCCCCTCCCGGACCCCCCCATAAACGTTTCAGCAGCAAAATCTACGTAGGGAGATATCAACCCCATCTCTGCCCGTTTCGTGGCTTTTCTAAACTCCTGACGTTTTGCAACATTGCATAAACATAAAACAATCCATCCTTGATATGGAATGCAAGGGCGGATGACAGCGCAGCGCAGCCCCCTCGGCTTCGATTGATTTACGCCGAGACTGACGCTTTATCAGGCACACGAAAAAAGTTTGACCAATCATTTTGCTGGGAGCTCACAACACAGCAGCCCAACTGTACTTTGTTGGCTAGGAAGTTCGAGAAGGGGGTAGAGTACAAATCTAGATCTGTCCTAAATATTTTTTTTTTTTTTTTTCCCTTCATTGAACCGTGCTTTGTATGATGTCTGAGAATGTCCATTTCTGGGACTCTTAGCAATTACTATGTCGACTCTATTATAAGTCATGAAAGTGAAGACTCGCCTTCAGCTAAATTTTCATCTGGGCAATATACAAGTTCCAGGCAAGCTGGGCACAATGAACATCTAGAATTCCCCTCTTGTAGTTTTCAGCCAAAACCTCCAGTTTTCAGCGCCTCCTGGACTCCTTTGAATCCACATTCTTCTGGTACCCTTCCTGCCGTCTACCATCCATATATTCAACATCAAAGCGTCCCATCTGATAGCAGGTATCTACGGAGCTGGCTGGATCCAGTGCCCAGAGCAGAGACCCTCCCCGGGCAGGGATCTGTTAAGGCAGAACCGCTGCTGGGCCGTCCCGGGGATGTCCATAAACAGGGAACACAGGAGTACAATTTAGAAACTTCTGCTGCAAGGGAAGGGATCGTTTCCAATCAAAGGCCCAGCTTCGAGGACAATAAAGTTTGTGAAGGAAGCGAAGACAAAGACAGAACAGATCAAAGTAAGTTATAAAAGTGAGGAAGTAAACAGTATAAAAGCTGGAGGAGGTGCAATAAAAGGGGACAATGCTGCGTAAAGTTTAAAATCAGGGCTTAAAGAAAACTCTCAGATGGCTGATGCCAACCTAAGGGGAGAGGTGGGGAGGGGAGAGGGGTGGCATTGTTTCTGCGGGGAAATACAAATAAAAATTAAAACGAGCGTCGTCTCCGACTAAAACAGAGTCCAGAGCGGACAAAAGCTGGATGGAGCCGTCCTCCTTCCTCCAGAGCGCTGACTCCGGCAGCGGAGATCATTGCTGTAAGCGGGAATGAGGGCGTGCGGAGCTGCGGGCGGAGGGAACGGAGGGACGGGGGAGGAGGGGAGGGGGGAAAGAGCGGAGAAACGTCGGGAGAAGGGCCGGGAGAGGAGAGCGGAGGTCGGGGGAGAGAAAAGAAGGGGAAAATCGTGGAGGAAAAGTTCACGTGTTGTGGGGGGGGGAGGGAAGTAAACAGCGGCGGGGGCTTTTCCGTGCCCGCTGCGCTGCGCTGCGCCGGCAGATTGCGGGCTCGGGGCTCCCCTTCACCTCGGGGTTTGTTTGGTTGTTGTTGTTGTTTGTTTGTTTGTTTTTGCTGCCGAGTTTTGGTCGTGGATGTATTTGTTGTGCATGTTTTGCTTGGTTTCCTTTTCCCCTACTTTTTCCTTTTTTTTTTTTTCTTTTTATTTATTATATATATTTTTGGCACGCGTTCGCTTATTTCTGTTTCGAACTGCTCGCGTATTTACGCCTCACTTCAGGGTCTGACGATTTCAAAGCCGAAATATCACTATTTCCAAACTCCCTCCGAGTTGAGTTAAAAAGAGAGAGAGAGAGAGAGAGATGAGTGCTTCCAGCCTAATTAGCTCTTTATTTGCAATGTAGCCAGATTGGAGAACAGCTAAACTTCATCTCGTGCCTTTTTAGTGACCTGGTTTCACTTTAATTCTCCCCGAAACGCGGAAAGAAAAATCGTTTTGATGTATTTAATAAGATTATAGTTGAATTATAGTTGATTCTGCTTGTAGTACGCTGTTGTTGTTATTACTAAAATGACGCAAGAGCGTTTGAGTGAGAAAGAACGGGTGTCCGGTTCGGTTGGTACCCGGGGTCCATCTGGAAGATGGAAAGGTTGTGCGGGAGGAAAGGGAGAAATTTGGCTCCAGCACCGCGGTGAATGTTTGGGTAGTGAAAGGCGAAGTTGTGCGGAGCGTCGGGTTGGAAAGGGCAGAGAAATCCCTCGCCAAGGGCACAGCGTGTGCAGGACACCCTGGCACAGCCGTACGGTGAATTAACTTCGTTTTAGCTTTTCTACCCCCTCTCAATCCCCCCTCCTTTAACCCCTCGCTAAAGTGTAAGAGCAACACTATGGAAAACGCGATGTATTCCCCCCTCCGTGTGCACGATGGTGCGGGGGTATTATTTTTTCCCCTATCGTTTGGCTTGCACGGTGCACACGCACTCACACACGCACGCACGCACAAAAAGAAAGTCCTGTTCTATTGTGCTGGGCAGAGATCCAGAACAAACTGCAAGCGGGAGGTGAATGGTCGGAGAGAATGAAATATCCAAGTTCTGTGCTCAATGTCCCTGAAATTCAATATAGAAAAGCCTCGTCCAAGAAAATGTTATTAAGTCCTAAGTAAGCGAAGGGACCCGAGCTAAGAGGATGCAGTGCGGTTTCTCTATGGCGTGTGGTTACGACGCATATTTTGTTTTAAATAATAGTTTAATTTGGGCTAATGTTGAGAGGCTGCCAGGGCTGGGAGACGGAGCTGTTTTGCAGAAAGCACTCCCACCCATTTCCCTGACTCTTTCAATTTTTGAAAGTATTTCACAATAATGAATCTCTGAGCCGGGTATGGCACCGGGATCTGTTAATTTATTTGCTAGGTTTGCTGGAAGCCATGTGCCAGAGCCTCCCCTCATTTGCTCGCCCATTCACGAGGCTGTATACAGTCAGTAAATAAAATATCCGCGTTTCAAACGCCTCCGATTTTAACGATCCGAGATACGACCAAAATAAAATAAAATAAAATAAAACCCAACCAAATAAAAATCCGTTATGATGCAGAGCCCTCCGTTGCCATTAAAGGATGGGTAGCAGGATTAACAGTATCAATTATTAACAGCTTTCTTCCTCTTTAATATTTAATTCTGCATATTAGATCGAGTCAATTACATTAAGGAAATAGCAGGGCAGATTTGGAAGAGGCAGCGCTTACAGGGGAAGATTAAGCGGATTATTTGTAAAAATATTCAATATATTTCGTTTTACGTGGAGGAAACGTCGCGATGGGGCGCGCGTGTGTGCGTGTATATATATTTATAATGGTCCGTTTAATTGGTGTAAAGGTTTATGGCTTCGGCCATCATTTCGGAGGACGAAAGGGAAATAAAATAGAAATACGTGGTCTGTCCTTTGCCTTTGCCTTTCCCGCCTCTCCTCTCCCCAGCACTCCTCCGATATTTGCATGCGATTAACGAACGCTCTATTATTCGCCCCCGAAGCGCTTCACCTTTGGGTGCGACCTCACCCAGCGCCGCGTCTGCGGGGCTCATTGCTAAAATGATGTTTTAATCCCTCAACCCCCCCACCCCCCCTTCCCCTTCCTCTTCCCTTCCCCAAACCCCCATCCCAGCATTGGGTTTAAGCCCTAAATGTGCTTTTTGCAAACGGTTCCCACGTAACTTCTCCCACAAGCCAGTTATTGGCGGGGGGGGGGGGGNNGGGGGGGGGGGTTGGAGGTGGGGGGGGGGTTATATTGTTGGAGCCGCTGTTCTCCCTTCTCATCGGCCCTACAAACGTCCATGGTTCAGTATAACACTGTCCAGACCTCCTGCAGCACAGTCCAGCCAGCCCTGAGGATGTTTATGGTATCGAGAGAGTTTCTTGCCACGTAGCAAAAATAAGCAGGATTTATTCTAGGAGCCTTTTTTGCTCCCCCCCTCTTCTCATCCCCCCCTCATCTCCTCTCTGTCCCCTTTACACGCAAAGCTGGAGTCACCCGTGGGGAAACGCAGCTGAAATAGATGCGGGATTTTAGCTTTGCTTTCTCCCAGTGCAAGGAGAGAACATCAAGGCTGCACCTTGGGGATGGAGGTGGGGGGGGGGGAGGTTGGATTTGGGCCCCCACGTGTGGGCAGGGCTCGCCTTGCTGAGGCCGGGCTGCTTTCAATCCTGTTCCCATCTCGGGTTCGCATATGCGTGTGTCTAATCTTCGTATTTGATGGCATGATGAAAACCTTCTGAGAAACACTTCAGGCTGCATCGTATTGATCTTGATGCTTTTCTTTCAGCCAACCCAGCTGCCAGCTGGCTGCACGCCCGTTCCTCCAGGAAAAAACGATGCCCTTACACGAAATACCAGACCCTGGAACTAGAGAAGGAGTTTTTATTCAATATGTACCTGACGAGGGACCGTAGACACGAAGTGGCCAGACTCCTCAACCTGAGTGAGAGACAAGTCAAAATCTGGTTTCAGAACCGAAGGATGAAAATGAAGAAAATGAACAAGGAGCAGGGCAAGGAGTGAAAAGCAGCAGAGCAGCACCCTCCCC